CCTTCCACTGTGGAAAATCAAGGGGGGATCGGATTATCTTTGATCTCAAATCATCAAACCAAGGGTCTATTCTATCTACATCAATTTCTAAACAATTAACATGGGGACGACTATCAAAATCTTTCTTTTCAAAAATTGGGTTCACTGATGACCTGTAAGGTCTATTGGTTTTAGACCTATTCGAAATACAACACTTAGGACAAGAAGATATGATCACACCTTTATGACCACAACGCCAACAAGATACTGGCTTGCTTCTACAGTCACGGGAAATATGACCTGGTCTATTACAATTGAAACAAATAATTTTTTTCGGATTTCTTGGAGCTTGATTAAGGACTGACTGCGTTACTGGAGGTGGGGACGAAAAAGATTGCATCATTGGAGTTGGGGACGAAAAAGACTGATTTCTTATTTCAGTATTCTCTGGAGGATTGGGTCTCCTAGAAGAATTTTCTCTGTCCTGTCTGTTACCTACTCCACTTCCATCTTGCTTGGTTTGATTATTCACCACATGAACTTGTTCTTTGGGTTTTTCTGAATCATCAATCGAAATACCTGCAAGACCTTTAGTAGTCTGCAACAAGGGCAGGACATTCTGCTCTAAACGTTTTATAGTTGCTACTAACATTTCTACTGTAGCAAAATCTTGAAGGGCTATCAGTGGAATGTAGTCCACTAAAATATTTTTCCTCATTATTTTTACTTTTTGGGCTTCAACAGGATAAGTTTCCAAACGTTTAAAAAGGTTTTCCATCACTGCTGAATAAATGGTTATGGATTCATTCCTTTTTTGCTTTCTACTTTTAATTTCTTCGAAGAGATTATCATTATAATCTGGGTGTAAAAAAGCAGATTTGAGTAGGGCTACCAACTCATCCCAACTATTAATTCTATCTCTAACACTCCTATACCAAATAGCAGCATTACCTTCAAATAACTCAATGGCTGAGCGAAACAGGATGTCTTTGGAAATATTCCTAGACCTAGCAGAATCTCTAACTTTCTCTAAAAATGTAGGAAGAGCTTTACTCTCACCATTAAACTTGATATGTAAATCAGAAATAATGACAGGAGTTGAAACCTGTATTATTGGGGCTGGGACTGTACAACTGGGAACTACAGGGACTGAAACTGGGCTACTAGTGGATGGTTTTACTATATCATCAAACATTTCCTCTTTTTCTAACACATTACCCTTCAACACTAACAAATCATCTTTACACTCTTCAACAAACTTTAATACATCTTCCTCAACATCATTCATAGGGAAATTTTCTAATCTGGTATCTAAATGTGTAGACCTTGTCTCAAATCTTGCAAAATCAGCCTCATTTGATTCTACATTTATTGATTGAGCACTAATACATAAATCTTCCATAATCAACTTAATCTCACACAACTCTTTCTCAGGAGCTACTACATTACTAACCAAATCGACTAAACTTGAAGACGAAGTGGCCTCCTTGGCCAACAAAGCTCTTAACATCTTTCTCTTATCATCAACTGTCTTATTTGGGACATTTTTACCTCTTATGAAAAGCTCATAAGATAACTCTCCTGATTTCAAATGATTAACCTGAGTAGACTTCATTTTTCAAAAATTGGTTGAAAGCAAAACACACAACATAAGTGAAATCAACCTCAATAACTAGTAGAAAATATGATAATTTTAAGAAACAACCGTTTCCATTTATCACCTGATAGTAAGTCTCACTTGCACTCCCGCGTACTGAAATCCAAAACTCAATCAGTTTGCTGCAACTTCTGCTCTTGACTTAATAATCAGTTGGTAAACAAAAATGAGGTCTTTAACCTGTCTCCTAAAAGTTCACACTTCCACTAACAAGGACTAAAAAATATGGTTTCAAACAACATGGGACAACATGGACACTAACAAACAACATAAACCGTACATACAAGGAAAGACAAAATACTAATAATATTGAAAACTTGACCTTTGAGTGAGCTACACTAAATAATACCAAAATAAACCAACTCTTGTTCCGAAAACTAAATGAGACTGCTCCTAGTCAAAACTAAAACAGCATCTCCTGATCACAAATATTACACCTGTGGTCATTCAGATACAAGAAAGGATACGCAATAAACAAATAGTCTACTACTGAGATTAAACTTGTCGAATCTTCTCTAGGACTCACAATGACTACCCCTCGTACAACAACATTAATTAACCCTTGGCATTTAAATACACCTTCAGAGACGGTTAATTAGAAGACAAACTGCATAATACTACTTCTCAACTACATAGCTCAAAAGTCACTCAAACGAATACACACATTTACTCAAAATGACCCAACAAATAAAAAATTACAAAAACCGATTATTCTGTAAAATTTGTCGAATCAATAAAAAAATAAATGTAACAGTAACTGTATAATTTGCTACTGTTTTTAAATTCTTTTCAATATCAATACTTCAATTAAAACTCATATTTAAATATTTAACTCAAATATTTGCTTTCATTTACCATTACATATATGAAGAACAATACATATGTCACTATAAGTACATTACCTGAAAAAACAACAATACATAATGTTGGTACAAAATACATACATTGTAATACAAATACACTACTGTTTGTGAGACACTTTGGGGCACTATTCAAAAGGAAAAAAGTTTCATATAAATGGCAGGGAACTGGGGAAACTGAAAAAGATATGTGGCTTCAGGAAAAGGATCAAAAATCTAAAAATTGCCCCACGCTATGGGCGTCAATTTTGTAACGACTATTTTGCTTACCACAGGGTAAGAATATGGGGGACAAGATTGGGCAAACAAAATAATCGAAACAAGTGCATACGACACTCAGTTGGTTGTTGGAGAGCTGGGTCGTGGATAAGTTGAAGATATTGGGGGTTGGATTGGGCAACTACAAAAAAAAAAGAAATAAAGGGGTACTTATACAAATCTCTTGGGACAAACAGAATGAAAATTAACGGAAACACCTCAAGAAATTTAATATAGGGCGCCACTTGAGGTGCCCAATTATACCTATTACAACCACTAGTTGTAACTAGGGAAATAATTGTATAACATCAAAAATATAGAAAAAAAATATCTTTTTCAAATAAAACTCAAAATAGATCAGAGAAACAAATTAAACATTTATTTTTGTCTCACCAAACAGTTTTCAAAAATACATATTATAAAAGAAACATATCATATAACATAATACAAATAACAAAAACTTACATGTTCTTTGTTTACTATATTATGGCCAATTAGATTATCAAAAATTAAGGATCCTTTTTAATGAAAACATATAAATTTAACCTTATATATGAAATATCGTTTCTACATAATAATCAAATTAAAATTGTCATAACAAAAAAACAAATTAAGCTTGCTGTCAGGTATCACATTTAATTTTGATGACAAAGAATGAAAGCAATTATTACTTTAGCCAAAAAAATATCTGTCTTTACTTTGAAAAATTAATATATTGAATTGTTACCTTAATGTTTTTTTTTATATACAAACACTTTGAAACTTTACATCTCTGGGGAAGCTACTCGGACAAAACTTTCAAAACTGGAAGGCAGCAACCATCAGGAACTAGTTCTACACTCCAGGACAAAACGATTGGAACAGGAACTTAGCGGAAGAATCAAGCCGACTACGGGGACATCCTATATCATACTTCTTTAAATATTTAGTAGTTACCCTTTTCTAAACCTGTCTTATTACAGAGGGTAATTGTTCCTCTAATTAACAAAATTTGTCGACTTTTTCCTTCGAGAAGTTCTTCATCACTTCCTCTCAAATCTTTTACTCCATTCCCACATGTCTGCCCCGCTTGGAACTTAAATCTCGACTTCGTTTCAAATCTTTGACTCCATTCTCACATGTCTGCCCCGCTTGGAACTTAAATGTCGACTTCGTTTCAAATCTTTGACTCCATCCTCACATGTCTGCCCCGCTTGGAACTTAAATGTCGACTTTATTGTCCATGTCTGCCCCGTTTGGAACTCAAATCTCGACTTCCTTGCTTCGTTACATTTTACAAGAAACTCGCCAAAAATTTCCCTTCCGTCTTGCAGCTAACCTGTCCCCACAAAATCAAGAACCAAAACAATATCCCCTCGCTCGTATCGACAAAAAAACCCAACTTTTAAATGTTCCTTTATTGCCTAAACAAACAAATATTCTTTTTTTGACCCTCGACTAATAACGAAAAACAACTTTAATATTAGGGGAATTTATGGTTTATTGCGTTTTAACATAATACCTCTTTGGCGAAAAAAAAACTTGTTATTTTACCTAACATTGCAACACAGAGATAAAAACATATTTCCAGCGTTAATACGCATCTAAAAATCTCGTCAAAAAAAACTTGAAATATTTACAACGTACCTACATTTAACTTTATTGATCGATTTCTTGGTAGAAACAACAGGGACGTACCATAGAAATATTTTATATACAAAATAAATAAAAAAAACGCTACAATTTCCAGCCACTTTTATTCTGTCAAAAGTTAACTAACTTCGCAAAAAAATAATTACTAAATTCACTAGACAGTTCGGACTGGGAATAGCGAACCGAGTATACATATGTAAGTATCTAAATATGGCTTTCATTCACCCGTGGATTAATATGTACATCTAGATGAATACAGTTTGATTATCCAAAAAACCGATTTTCTGAACACCCATGTCTCCCAATTAGTTCGGATAATGGACGCTCTACTGTATTCATATAATGTTTATTGATTATGCAAAAGTTGACCAAGGGAGACCTCAAAAGGAATTGGTAGGTGACACAAAAACAGTGGATGATATTGGTGCTGGACACAGAAAGATGGAAGCAGTTGAAACATACCAACATTCAAGAATGGATTGTCAAAAGAGAGTGAGAGAGATGCTAGAACAAGGAAGAACTGAATGAGAATAAATTGATCTATATCACAATAGAATAATTTTTCCTATAGGTTGTTTCACCAATTGAATTGATTTTATTTACAATTTTTTTAGCTTTATTTTAAAACCAAAAGATGTATATGAACATAGACCTCTACCTCCTCTCATTGGTTCTGAGGAGTGGTACAAAAATTGGTATTTAGAGGAGGATGATAGTGATGTTGATTCTCAAAAATCCGAAGAAATTTACAGTGAATCTGATAGTGATGATAACCTACCTAAAGATTTGGTAAAAAGTAAATATTAGCACTATTTTCTTTGTTTGTTAATATGTTTTGTTTTAGATAATGTCTGAAACTAGTTCGGAACTAGATTTTTCACCTCAAAATAATGAGCATATACCAGTAGCTAATTCTTCCATGAAGGATACGAAAAAGAAACCAGAGTCTATTAGTTCTAGTGATGGAAGTGAAGGTCAATTGTACTCTGAACCATCTAAAGTAAGCAAAAAATGTGTTTTATTTTCTACAATATTAAAAGAATAGACACCTTTAAGAAATAATTATTTACACAATAAGTATAAATATGCTCTTTTACTCTTCTTTGTTTTTGTACTATAATATAAATCCATAATATTATGTTTTACCACTACAGGTTCCTCAATCGAATAAAGCTTTTGCTGAACAACTGGCTGCTAAGTTGGACAATGTGATCAGTAGGGAAGAAAATATTCCAGAAAATATCAACTCCAAGCTAATACAGCCTAGTAAAACTAATACTTTCTCAGGTAAGGGGGATTCTTAGTCAGTTTCTTTTCTTTACAGTTGTTTTTGTGTTTCGTTTCACTCGAAAACTGATAACTTTAACACTAGAGTAGGCTGTTGTTTCCAGAGATTTTCTTTTTGCTTTTCCATGTCATTATATAAAAGAAATACAATTTTTCAAGAAAACATAGAAAAAATACTTTCTATAAACAATCTATAAACTTTTATAAAAGTTGTTATTGACACCTCTATACTTTTACAATTTTCAGCTGGTCTGTTTTCTGATGAACCTCCACCTCTAAGTTACCCTGAAGATACTGTGAAAGGAATCTTCTCTACAAAAAGAAACCTATTCGATGATGATGGGGAGGATGATGAAGACTCCCTATTTTGGGACAATAACAATAAAGTGCCAGCGGCTTTAAGTAAAGAAGATAGTGTAAATGCTACGAAGGAAGCTAAGTCTGTTAAGCCTGAGGTTCCGACCAAAACTTCTCAGGTAATTATTTTTATTTGATCAAATACTTTTATTAAAACATTCAGAGTGAGTAACTTTACAGATTCGACAATATTTTAATGTGTGTATGGCGATTACTAGGTACTAAAACGCAAAATAGATATTTGGACCATTTTAATTGACATAAATTTGTCAATTTCTGTTTCTGTTCGGTTAGTGACTCCTACTAACAAAACTACATAGAAATTTAAGATGTTTTCTGACCTCAATGTATGTAGTTGTATTTTACTGTTTCATATTCCCAATAATCACCTTAAAATATGGCTGGTAATGTATATAAATATCACAAAAAAGGAAAAAAAATGTACTTTCAAAGACAGTTTAACATCTTCTTATGGTGCCTATCCGTTACGGATGTTGGACACTAACATGGCTATTCTGACTTTGTTGATTGCTGCCCTAAAAAGTCAGGTAGTGGTTAAGTTAAACCATCTTCGCAGGTTATGCAGCCAGGATATTCTTCGTCCTGGACCTCTTTTCCCATGCATTTTAATGTTATTACTTTTCCCATGCACAGTTTAACATGTTAAGCTCCAAAGATTTTATGCGCTCCTTTCATATCAAACCAAACATACTATTTTAAAATTCTTCAAATTTAGATCTCCAAAGGACTTTTCGACAGTGAGGAAAGCGAAGATGATGATATTTTTACAGTAAAAAAAGAAGAGACGAAAAATACCTTCCTACAACCACCAAAGACGATTGTACCTTTAATTGATGATGAACCTCCATCCATAGATAGTGAGAATAAAGTGGAACAGCTTGTTAAAAAGGTATATATTTTTGTATATGTTGTTTTATCTTTGTAAATATTGATAAGAAGCATTTCTTGATCACTACTTTTTTTTGCTTCTAGAAACCTGTGGGGGGTGTTTCAATACTTGGAAACCAAAACATCGGCGAGATTTTGAAGAAAAAGCAAGAAATCAGCAACCAAAATCCGGAAAACGACTTTCCTAAGAATATCGTAGCACCTAGTCCAAAACAGAACACTCCTCAAAAGCAATTTAATCTGTTTGATGACGCAGACAATTTATTTTCTGATGCTGGTGTCAAATCAAAACAAAAACAGCACAGTCTCTTCGACGACGACGATGATATTGAAGAAGGCAGTAATAAAAAAGATATTAAGAACATTTCCAACGTTGCCAAAGCTGAGGTATCGTCGCAGAAGTCGAAACAGATCAAAGGTCTTTTTGATGAAAGTGAGGAAGATTCAGAAGACGATATTTTTGGTACAAACAAAAAGACTACAAGTATTAAAACCAATCAGAACAAAAAGTATGATCTTTTTAGCGATATTGATGATCTATTTGATAAGGATAACAGCATTGAATCAAATAAAGCACTCTTCAGTGATAGTGAAGGAAAGAAAAAAGCAGCAGAAGATTTAGATAAAGTTCAAGTTAAAAAAGAAAATAATTTGGACACAAGTATTCCAGACAAGGTAGAAGTTTCCAAAACAGAGAAAGACAATACTAGTTATAAAAAATACTCAAACCAATCCAGTATTATTAAAAAAGAGGAGGTTAAGGACGAACTTTTAGGCAAAAACAACAAAGAGAACAGCAAATCGAAGAAAATCAGCTTGTTCGATGACGACGACGACGAAGAAGAAGACGATCTATTCTCTAACGTCACTAAAAAGATTAACTTCAAGCTATTTGAAGAGCCGGAAAGCACCGACGATTTGTTCAGCATTAAAACTGAAGTGGAACACAAATCGGTCAAAACGGCTCACGTAGAGAAGACCGATACATTCGTAAAGAATAAATCTGAACTCGAAGATGATTCTAAAGGTGTAAACGATACTCAAATTGCTCAAGCAGCTGTTCAACAGGTGCCTTTACTGTTTGAACGTATTACTTCAAAAGATCTTCCTGAAGTTACTACTAAAAACTCTGAAAAAGTAACTGATAAAGTTGATGAATACTTACATTCGGTCAGTGACTTTAAACCAAGAAGTGAATCATTGTTTGATGATGATTTGTTCCCGAAAGAAGTAATAGTTAATGATGATAATGATTTGTTTAAAGGTAAGTTTAAAATTTTTACCTATGCTAATGGTATAAAAAAAATGTCTGTCAATATTTATCTTATTACAGTTCAATTCAGCGTGTTTCACGCCGAATATCACGCCTATAACCTGACTTTATAATTTTTTATGTATTGTTGAAAGATGTTCCAGTAGTTGCTACAAAAAGTGCTTCAAAAGTCGTCGATAAAGTTGATGAATACTTAGATCCGGTCACTGACTTTAAACCAAATAGTGGATCATCGTTTGATGACGATTTATTCCCGAAAGAAGTAAAAGTTGATGATACCGATTTATTTAAAGGTAAGTTAAAAAATTTATCCTATTCGTATCAATATTATAATCTGCTTATTATGTTTGTCTTTTCGAAATGAAAACCCTAGTGCCACCTATCCACAAAAACTACTACTAATTTTAATAATATATACATAGTAAACGTCATATGTCACTGGTTTATTATAAAGAAATATTTATTAAATACATAAATATTTTTTATTTCATAAAGAAATGACGTTGTTTTATACAAACAATATGCTTTAGAAAATAAATTTATAAATTCATAGGTATTGTCTTTAAATGATTGATTATTTCTTTAATTTATAGGAAAACCATCAACAAAACCTGCCGTTGCCGAAAAACCTACACCAACATCTACTACTACCAAGACCTCAGACGTAGAAATACCTACCGCTACAGCTACTTTAACAGCAACTTCTTCAGTTCCTCCAGTCGTAAGTCTGTTTGATTCTACTCCACCACCAGACGAGGATGACTGGGACACGAAATCGGACACGTTTTCCGACACGGAAGATTTTCTTTCATATAGGCCAGAGGAAAATAGCAGTACTAGACCGATTTTGTTTGACAACGAGCCTCCTTCTTTGTATGCCGATGAATCGAGTGACGTTGTAGAAGACGACGAAAATGCAAGGTAAATCTTTAATTATTTTTGTAATTAGAGCCAAAATTGGTGCGCAAATACGAGATAGTTTTATTCAGTGTTTGTTGTATACTATATTTTTTCTACGACTCGACTATATTATTTAAACGTACAAGTTTTTATTTATGCTTTTTAATATGTTAAAAGAAAAATTATATGTAATTTAATTTTCTCTTTCAATTTTAGTATACTAAATGCATATGCGACTTTATGTGTGTTGCTACACACTAAAATTGGTCCAAATGGGTCACCTGTCACTAATTTTCTTGTTAATTTAATCTAAAATTGGCAATGGTGTGACTTCAATGGTAAAATTGTTTCAAATATTAATTTTTTTGGTGCTTCTCGCTTAAGTAGTTATAAAGAACAATTTTTGATTAAAAAATGAGTTTGTTAAACCTTTGGAGTACGAAGACTGGGTCAAGCGTGACCAGAAATTCACTGATTTTTTCAATATTACATAAAATAATTTTTTTTATAAATCTGGTTAATCGTAAGTTCTCCTTATTTGTTTCTTGACAAGAAGACAAGAAGAAATGGAAAACATACTGAATGTTTGGAGGAAAAAAGCAAAACATATGGACTAAAGCTAAATAGGAGTAAGACAAAGATCATCATGATAATAGACAGAGCTCGGAATAATTTTCAACATATTAAAGAAATTGGGGGCTTTGAAGTAGTAAATAGTTTCATATGCCTGGGGTCCCTAATAACAAATGACGGAGGGTATGACAGAGAGATACGTAGAAGGTTGACTATTGCTAGAACAGCTATGATGAAACTGGTAGCAATTTGAAAAAATTCTATCATATCAATACACACAAAACTAAGGCTGGTAAGGGCGCTCATTTTTCCCATAGCCACATATGCATCCGAAACGTGGACCTTAAAGAAAGCGGATAAAAATAAACTGGACGCTTTTGAAATGTGGGTATACCGCCGAATGTTGAGAATATCCTGGATTGATCATCACACTAACGTATCGATATTAGAACAACTTAAAGTAAAATATTGCTTAAACAAATACAACAGAGATATTTGCAGTATTTTGGACACATTGCTACAGGAACAGGTACGATGGAAAAACTGATAGTCGAGGGTAGAGTTGAAGGAAAGAGATCTAGGGGGAGATCTCCAACACGTTGGGTAGACCAAACAAAAATATTGATTAACCAAGGGTTACATGAAGCCGAACAACTAGCCCAGGACAGAGAAGGATGGAGGGAAATCGTGAAAAAACTCCAGAGAGATTGCATCTCTGCAGATTGCATCTCTGCGCTCCAGAAAACCTCCGACTAGAGATGCAATAAACTTGAGTTCCAACAATTTTCAAATGAACTCCCAGTGGAAGAACATGCAGAGCGACAGACCGAACCTAATAATGAGAAACACACCATGCATCACAGAAACTCCACCAGGTTTTGACCTCCCCCGAAAATCATGGTCAACTCTTAACAGGATAAGAACGGGTCATGGAGTCTGCGCAGATTCCCTTTATAAATGGAGGATGAGAACCTCTGCTGAGTGCGACTGCGTCGCCGAGAAACAGACCATCCAGCATATGATTACCGAATGCCCTCGGAGGAAGTATTATGGAGATCCTCTAGACTTCGCCTCTGCAACACCAGCGTCGATTGAATATATTAATACATTAGATGTTAGATTGTAACATATATGTGATAATGTTGTGTATCAAATCGCCATACGCTAAATAAAATAAAATAACGTGAAAAAACTGTAAAGGCCTGATGGTGTCACCACATCCCAAAAGGGATTAGGACTGAGGAGGAGGAACATCCATGACGTCGGGTCAGTCCCGACCCGGTCTTCGGGTTTCGAAGAATATTATCAGTATGTTTGTATACTCGGAATTCAATAGGATTGTCAGGTTATTACTTAGAAACGATAGACCCTCGAGTCTATCGTCTATCGAAACTATAGTAAAATAAAATTGACACTCCAGTTAGGTACCACAAGTATAGCGGGTGACTCATATATTAATGTTTTTTTATAGGCCAGTAAAGTTGGATGTTTGCTCCCTACAGCATCTTCAGGGGCATTTCGTCAATTTAAAAATATTAAATTCAATGAACCAATTTTGAAAATCGAATTACTTAGCACGGTGTCATAAAGATAAATATGTAAAGGGTGTTTTTTAGAGGTATAGAAATGTAAGTTGGTATCACTTTTTTAACCGTCGGCTATTTTGACAGCTGTCAATTGATTTATGTTCGTCTTCTCCAAGCCCTGTCATGGTGGGCATAACATGTTCATCCAGAATTTCCGTAATGTACCGTCGTGCAGTTAAGGACCCATTTTCCGATGAAGGGTCAATATGTGCGGAAGTTGGAAGATAAACCTCAAGTTATGACCGAGCCTCCACCAAATGCATTCTTGGAGCAATGCAAGCTCCTGAAAATCGTTCACCGGTTCTCCTCCAAACTCTTACACGTCCATCGGATCCAGTTAGGCAGAAACAAGATTCGTCTGTGAATAACACTTTGCTCCAATCGTTAATTTCTCAATGCGCGTATTTTCGAGCAAAAGCTAGTCGTGCAACTCGATGCGCCCGGCGAATTGGCGGTCCTGTAGTCATATATGGATGGATACGATGGATAACCGCAGTTGAGGTCTGGTTTCGTAAAGCCTTGAAACACAAGGAAACGGTTGTCCCTTGCCGTCGTCGTTCTTCTTTGTTCAGACCAGGTTAGCAAACTTATCTCCTGAAAGCGTTGAAGCACTCGTTGAACCTTAGAAAGGCTTACGCCAACAGTTCTTGCGACTTGCCGTTGAGTGTGACCGTCTTCCACAAGCGCAACAATTCGTACCGTTTCAACAACAGTCAAAGGCATTTTTGGCAAACAATAAACAATACTAAACACTAATAATGGCACTAATAATCACTAATAATGGCAATAATAAACGTTTGGTCGTTGCGTTTGAACAGAAAATCGAAGCACAAATGTGACATTTAAAACAAGCGGCAGTTACAGGTATTGTTCATTTTAGGAAGTGTGCTTCTGCGAAATCGGCACTATTGAAATTCTTTGTTGCAAAGAAAATGCTAACCCGACAACAATAGTAAACTCTACTCGTTTTTAAAATACTGTTATGACAGATATAAACCTTAGATTTAAATATGAAGTCATGATATAAATATAGAGTTGATATTATTTACGGAACAGTTTAATTCAGATTTTGAAGTATATAATTACTATCATTGAGTTTAGTATTGTAAACAAGTTGAATTTTAAATTAAGTGATTTAAACGAAGTGTAACAATACTTAAGTGATTAAATAGTGTCATTTATTTAGTCGAATATTCAATTAGTATTAAAAAACAAAAAAACTTACTTATTCTCTTATTCTCCTAATCGTCTATACTCCACTCAAAGCAAACTAAATATTTAAAACTAACAAAGTGAAATATTAGATTCTTTTTCTAGTTTCTGAACCATCGTTCTGCCAATTTCTTTTCAATTATATTAAAAATAGTACATTTCTTTTTATTACAATTGTGGTACCTAATAAAGTAATAAAATAGTGTAATATCAAAGAAACCCGGTACGAGTATTGAGTATTTACATTTCACGGAAATCCAACCCAAATGTCTGATGAACACATTTGGCTCATAGAAGTCATTGTATTTATTTATAGAAGCGTTTGCGCAAAAAATTTTGTTATTTTCGGATTAAATTTCACAATAAATTTTGCGTCTATCTGAACACCTATTAACTGAAATAATTTTAGTTTATCATTTTTATGGGAATAATAATTAGACCAATTTACGTTCATACTTCTACTTGCACAGTAAAATATTCGTTGTTGCAATAATCCAAAACAGTCGTATATTCGTGGAATAACCTATAAATCTCATTTGACAATAGGAATTAAATTTAATCCTTGAATCAGTCATAAGTTTGTTAATTTAGACGGATAAAGGGTTTTTGCCAAAAAAATATATTTAACAAGGACTCGTTTTCTTCGTCTATAAAATAAGAAAATAATTTTTATGACAATCAATTTGTTCTAAAGTCCTGATTATTATTATTTTTTTAATAATAGCCGCACGCCTATGACTCGTCGTTTTCCTTGGCCCTCAGACCCGCAAAGGCCTACATTGAAAATATGAGTCACTCGCTACAATTTGTGTGTGTGATACCGTTGATTGAATAACCGGTGATACTATACTCAAATATAGACATTAAGATTTCATAGGCGCGCTTAAAAATTTTTGATACCGACCACGTCGACACCGCCGACTCTATATGTCATTAAAAGCAACCATTTTATCAATTTTTTGGCCAAAACCATTTATATATGTACGTTGATTTCAGGATAGAATCAAATGATTCATTATCAAATCAGAAAACACCATCATTGCAACGACTGCCTTCAGATCTACTATTGGACGATCAGGAACCAAAAGGTACTTGATTTGTTGTTTAAAAGTCACCTTAATTTTAGTTGAACAGTAAAAAGGAAAAGTTTTAATCTGTAAATATGGCGCGTTTATTTTTTTAGTAAAATGTCAATCAAAATCCACCCGTTTGAACAAGTTTTCTATATTTTTATTATTATGTTTTCGCTTTAATTTCTTTTATTATTTTAACGTAACCTTTAATATTTTTGTATAAAAAAATTATCCCTGTATCTTCTACTTCCTTTGCATATAGAACACCCTGTAGACAATTATTATTTTGTTGCTAAACTCATTTATTTATCCCTGTAAGCTGTGTTTCCTTTATCTATAATTGAAAACACATTTTTAAATGTATCAAACGATTTTCGATAAGATATAATTGATAAGAACTAAATTAAAAGATTAAGCGCGCTAGAAGTTTATCGCGGAAGCTTTGTTTTGACGTGTATATTTGTAATTATAGCCACGAGAGATGAAATGAACAATTTAAACAAAAATACATCCAGTGTTGAAGGGATGGAACGTGAAGTTGCGGTCAAAATAGAGAAGCTAGCGGATATAAATAAATCTCCAGTTGAGGCAAGTCCGAGAAGAATTGCTAGTATTACGGAGATGCTGAAAAATCAAGGACAGAAAGACACTACAGAGCAGAAAGGTAAATTTTGCACGTTCTATTTTGTATTTTAGCTCTATTTATTGGTATACGTTGGTATACATCATACTTATAGTATATTTACAATTTATTTTGGTATCGACGCCCTACTGGGCGAATCTGACATTGTGTGATTTTTCTTTATTTATATACTAATTATATTGCTACTTGCGTACATTTTTCCACTTAATTTTAGTTATACCTGGAAAATTGAAGCAGAATCTTAATATAAATGTGAAAGCCTTGCTGCCAGGTCAGTCGCAGCCGAAAATTTCTAGTTTGAGAAAATCACAAAGCTTGGAGTCGCCTTCTGACGAGGATATAAGTGATTCTAGAGATGTTACAAATGCATCTGCAACGAAGACCATTAGCTATAAAGATTCACCACCCAAGGACGAGGAAAAACCTGTCAATTTCGATGAACCTGATAACGTGAATATTTTGGAAAGTATTACTAAGGTAATATGATTTTTTTAAATAAATTAGCCAGTAGTGATGTATGAATATAAATTTGAGTCACTTTATGAGTATAAATTATATAGTTGTGTGTTAAATCTTTTTTCTGTCCATGAAAATAATATTCTCTAGGTAAAAATTGGTTTTCAATCGTCGTTGGCTTTGTTATTATGCATTTTTGAGTTTGTCTCCGCCGCTATCAGAATATCAATTTCTTTTTCGATTGCGGAGACCGCAGCGAGGTCGTGAGCTAGCCTAGTCGTCCCAATGCAACACTCTTAACACACGTTATCTCTCACGATTATTCCCCATTTTGTCGCTCAGTCAATAACCTCCTACCCTTCTTCCACCTTCACCTCTTGCTCTTCTGATAATTTCCCTGAATATATGACACTAAGTGGACGTAGACATATGACTTTCCTCGTCACAATTAAAGCACTTTACAGTGTTACTTTGACACTGGGATTGCACATGGCCTTCCATCTCACACTTCTAGCAACCCCTTTTGCTTCTCCCTCGCAGTTCTGCTATGTGGCCATGTGCTTGACATCTATAGCATCGTCCCACCTTCACCATCTCCTTTAACGTGACGTGTACCATCCCGATCTTTATTCTTTTTGCCACTAAAAGTCTTCTGGCTATGTCCTCATCCACTTTCACATAACAAATTTTACTGTCTCCCCTGTTTGTCCTTATTTTTCCAACTTCCTGACATGCTTCCTCCCTACCAGGAAATGCAGTGGTTGGGCCATCCATGTCCACCAGCATCAAACCGTTCTTTACTCTTCCACCTTTTGCCACTACTTTTGTTGCGCATCCTTGTCTTGATGCTACTAAATTCCTGACTTGTTCCGCCATTTTCCTGCCTCCATCTAAGTCCAGGACCACACCTTCTTGTCTGGTTTGTCTAACCTTGTTTATGACGACATCCTCTCTTTCTCCTAGCTCTTCCCTTAATTCTTTTACAATTTCAGCATAGGGTTTGCCCTTCGGTTTTGTGATGATTACCATCCCTTTCTTTTTTGTAGCTACTATTTGCTGTCCTTAAACGTTTTGTCGTATATCGTTGCCGTTACCTTCTTTCCTCTTGCTGCTCACTCTAACACTTTTCTTGATTTTTCAACTTCTAGTGCTGCTGGTGCTGCTATCCCTATCATTTCTCGATATATTCTTTCTGCCAGAAATTTAAAAGCCATTGGTTCTCCTCTCCTTTGTTTCATCTTGTGGACAAATTCTTTTGATGTCCTCTCTCTCCCATTTTCCTCTGCTATACATGTTATTTGAGACATAGCCCCAACTCCTCCATTTTAATCTTCCTCCACGTATAATCCGGGGAGGTCTGGGTACCTTGCACTAAAATCCCCCTTCACTCTTGCTTCAGCACCATCCTCTGTTACCAAGATTGCCACATCGTTCGGTGCCTCCAAAATTCCTTTTTCGTAGATGGTTACCTTAGGCCAGCAACCTCCGCTGGCCATTCTTGATCTAATACTTCACTTATTTCCTCGGTGCTTTCTGTCGTCTCCATTTTCTTATGTATTTCCTCAATCCTTTTTCTTTGTAATTCTGAGTCCTCTTCATAATTTACTACTACTTCTACCTGTGTCCCAACGTACGTCGTAGTTGTTGCTGCAGATATTTTTGTTTCGTCCCTATTGTTTTACGCATCTTCTTATACCTTCCCTTTTCTTGATATCCTCTGTAGCAGTATACATTAACTCTCTAGTGTTTCTTTCCATTTCGCACCAAATCTGCAGTACCTTTGCGGCTCACTATTTAATCTCATTCTTCGTATTTGCCACCGCCTTTGTTAGCTTCATTAACTCGTCGATGCATCCCTTCATTTTTGAGATTCCTTTCTCTGTTTCACTTCTTTTTAAATTGATTTTACTTTCCGATTTCCTTTTCTTTTTTCTGTTAATGTTGGTCGTCCATTCACTCTCGTCGTTACTATCCCCCGATTCTTTTCCACTGCCATTCTCCTCCGCTGCTTCACCTATGTCCTCGTTTTCCCCTTCGTTCTCCCCTTGACTCGTCATTTTTCTCCTCCCGACTGTCCTTTTCTTCCTCTTCCGCTCATCTCGCCAGCCTCTCTTCACTTATATCCTCCATAGAATCTCGTATCCCTATACTTACCTTCTTTTTTATTAAATATTTTTCCGTTTTTCTTGTTGTGGGTCGATTCTTCGGTCCAGCCGGGCAGTGCGCCCATACTCCGCCAAGGCTATAATCCCCTTCGGTTCACCCCCTCATTAGGGCATCGCTTGAGACCCACTTTTCCCCTTGGGCCATGCACCCCTTCGGCACGATGGTGTTACACTTTGAGGTTAGGGTGGCGATGTATTAGAATGATGCATAGCCACCTGTCCTATGCATATCCACTTGTTCTCAGTGGTTTTTTCCACTGGTTTTTGTATTAGTGGAGGTTTTCTCGTCGGGTATAGGTTTGGGTATCAGGACGTGTATGATTGGTAGGGGTGGGTGACGTATGATATTTGAGCGTGTACACGTCTCACACCCATACATGAGCACCGGTCTAATTACTGTTTTATATATCCTGATTTTTGTTGTTCGTGTTAGGCTCTTGGATTTAATAGTGTTGTGGAGGCTATACATACATCTGTTTGCTGCCTGAATTCTCCCTTTTATCTCTTCCGTGATATCGTTATCTGTGGTGATAGTCGCTCCGAGATATTTAAAACTCTCCACTCTTTCAAAGTTATAGGGGTCTATTGTTACATTTTGTCCTATTCTATCTCGTCTCTTTTGTCTGTTAATGCACATATATTTGGTTTTCTCTTCATTGACCCTTAGACCGGTATTTTTTGCCTCTGAAATCTTTTTGATTTTTGACCAGAAATCTTGAAATCATACATTGCGAATAGATATTTCAGAGTAAAACAAGAAGAAGTGTACACCGACTTAAGGGAGATCAAAGCTGGCGTGCCACAAGGAAGTGTCTTAGGTCCGGTCCTGTACCTATTGTATACGTGTGACATTCCAGAGCTAGAACAAAATACTATTGCCACCTTCGCGGATGATACAGCCATACTAGCGATAGGAGACACTAGTGAAGAAGCGACTGATAAATTGCAATTATCAGTAAATAAAATACATAACTGGACCAGAAAATGGCGAATAAAATTAAATGAGACTAAATCTGCACACATTAACTTTACAAATAAAAAAATAGAAAATTTTCCAGTTACAATAAATGATGCCCGAATTCCTTATGCAACATCAGCAAAATACTTGGGCATCACCCTAGACGCGAAGATGCGCTGGAAAGTCCATGACAAAAAGAAAAGAGGGGAGCTTGATATTAGATATAAGAAATTGTATTGGCTGATTGGAAAAAATTCAACATTGTCAATTCACAATAAATTATCCATCTACAAGCAAGTACTGAGGCCAGTATGGGTATATGGGTGCCAACTCTGGGGCTGTACCAAAGCTAGTAATCTACTTATTATCCAGAGATTTCAAAATAAAGTACTGAGAAACATTGTTGATGCTCCTTGGTATATCCGTAACAGCAACCTCCACCAGGACCTGGGTATGGAAACTGTGATCGAAATAATCAAGAGAACAGCAGCAAGTCACGAGCAGAGGCTGCATAGTCATGTGAATGTCGAGGCAATCCAGCTTCTTGACAACACTGAACTAAAGAGAAGACTCATAAGGACAAAACCATTTGAGCTAGTGTAAATGTGTAACAGTTTAGTGTAAAAAGCAGAGTATAGTGCTGTGAAGTTATTGCATGTTAGTTATTAGTGCATTAGTTAATAGATAAAATAAGAGTAAGCCATAGGGTAAGCCCTTAGATTTAAGTATTTGCTGTTATTATGTTAGGTCAGAAAATAACTGATAATTGGTCATTTGTGACCAGATAGCAGTATACAAACACCGCGTAGGTGTTAATAAAAAAAAAAAAAAAAAAAAAAAAAAAAAAAAAAAAAAAAAAAAAAAAAATCCTGATTTTTGTTGTTCGTGTTAGGCTCTTGGATTTAATAGTGTTGTGGAGGCTATACATACATCTGTTTGCTGCCTGAATTCTCCCTTTTATCTCTTCCGTGATATCGTTATCTGTGGTGATAGTCGCTCCGAGATATTTAAAACTCTCCACTCTTTCAAAGTTATAGGGGTCTATTGTTACATTTTGTCCTATTCTATCTCGTCTCTTTTGTCTGTTAATGCACATATATTTGGTTTTCTCTTCATTGACCCTTAGACCGGTATTTTTTGCCTCTCTCTCTAATTTATTGAAGGTTTCTTTTACATTGGTGACGGTATTTCCTACAATGTCAATGTCATCCGCGTATGCTAGTAGTAATTTTGGTCCATTTACTGTCAGTAGTTCTGTTCTAATTTGTGCGGTTCTTACTACTTTTTCCAGGATTATATTAAAAAGAAGAGGTGACAGCGCGTCTCCTTGTTTCAGTCCACTGTTTATTTCAAACGACTCTGCTGACTGAAAGTTCTGCCATTGCATTCCACATCTGATCCCTTTTAATGCTGTCGTATGCTTGTCGGAAATCTATGAAGAGATTATGAATGGTTCTATTGAATTCCCATCCTTTTTCAAGCAGCTGCCTGAGAGTAAAAATCTGATCTATGGTCGATCTATTTTTTCTGAATCCGGCTTGGTATTCCCCCATGAAATTTTCTACAAAAGGTGTTAGTCTACTTAATAGGATGTTCGATAAGATTTTGTACGCCGTATTAAGTAGGGAGATGCCTCTATTAAATAGGGAGAGAGATAGTTAGAGCACTTGGTTTTGTTTCCCTTTTTATGGATAGGAATTATTACACTTTCGTGCCATTTTGTTGGTATTTTCTCTTCGTTCCATATAAGTGTTATTAGTTTGTGTAATTGTCTATGTAAAGTTTCTCCTCCGTACTTAAGAAATTTGGCTGGTATATTGTCAGAGCCTGGAGCTTTTGCGTTCTTCAATTTGCGTCTATTTTTGGGTACTCTACCGGTAGGTCCACCCCAAGATATATATCCTCTCTATGTTCTTCATCTTGGTGTATATTAAGTAAATTTTTGAAATATTCTTGCCATGTTTGGAGTAATTCTTGTTCGTTGATTATTAATTCATCATTATTTTTCCTCAGTACAGACACGCAGTTAGGTCTGAATCCTCTCTTTTCTGATGAAATTCTGATGATTCTGATGATGTTTGACACAGATTTGTAAAATGCTCGACTATTTGACTGTTGTCTATTTCTTTCCATTTCTTCATACTGCTGTTGTTCGTATTTTCTTTTTTTCTCTCTAATTAGTTTTCTTGTTTCTCGTCATGATGTTGTATAGTTTTCTTTACTAGGTACTACTACCGTCTAGAATACTAAAACATGACACATTTTCAACAATTTTTTTTGTCTATTTATATAGAATAATAGAATAATAGCAATTAATTTTTTTTATGTTATAAAACTTTTGAAGATTACAATTTTTTTTCTTTTTTTCCGTTGTTTCTGTACAGATCGAACCAACAATTTTTCGTCCAAAAATTACTGCTTCATGGCGAACAGGTAATCTCTAGTACGCAAATCTGAAACATCAAATTCGAGAAAGGTTTTAAAAAAGAAGTGCCCATACGAGAAGAAAGTTTACCAGAAAAATGCGAAATTCTTAAAAAAAAAAACAAAATAGCGGACATTTGAAAAAATTTCTTTTTTTCGACTTTTTGCAGTCACTAAAATTTTGTTAATATTTTTTTCGGTCAAATTGTAGTGAACTATCATAGAGAAAACCAAAACAAGTAAAATGCATGAATTAAAATTTATTAAAATCGACCGACTAGATCCCGAGGTAACTGTCCGCTAGTTTTAAAAACGTAGTTTTTCTCAAAATTTTTAATCTCTGTATCTAGTCGGTCGATTTTAATAAACCTTGATGCATTTTATTTGTTTTGGTTTTTTCTATGATAATGTACCACAATTTGACAAAAAAAAATAATAAAAATTTTTGTTACTGAAAAATTTTGAGGCATTTGAAAAAATAATTTTTTCAAATGTCCGCCATTTTGTTTTGTTTTTTTTAATTTTTAATTTGTCTGGTAAACTTTCACGTATGGGCATTTCTTTTTTAATACACTTCCCGAATTTTATGTTTCAGATTTGTAGTTTCAGTGATTAACAATAAGCAGTAATTTTTGGCGCCATCTTTAAAATCCACGAACAATGGACAAAATAGAAAAAGTTTTTATCTTCAAAGTTGTATAATAATAAAGAAGTTTTTTAGCTATATATAATAAATAAGATACAAAAAAAGTTTGTTGAAATTATTTTTTAGTATTAAAGATAGCAATAGTACTTTAAGCATATGAGGGGTATAGAAGCAAAATCCGCCAAGTCACATCTATCAAAATTTTCAGGAAACGTGAAAAACTATTACAAAAGACTCCTGTGATATTTTTAGTTTTCTGTTTGATTTACTTGTATTCTAGTATAATGTTTTATTAGAAGAATACAAAATAAAAAATATTTGAGCTGCAGTTTCGGTATGAAATTGGTTTTATTTATGGACATGGCGGGATTTGCAACAAAATTTAACAACTTTGTCCACAACTTTTTAAAAAAAATGTCCTAGTGTATATCTTTCTTCTCTTAATTTTTCTCTAGTCTGTTGCCCCGTCTTATTCCTGCTGAGACCGTTAGCTTCTAAATTTCTTATTCACGACTAAACTTGCCGCAAAATTAGGTTCCAGCTAGTAATATCTGCAGTAAAAGGTGAAGTTACTTTGTGAATGTTAGAGAAAAAGTCTTAACCCACAAGGCAAATAAAATTCCTGTAGTTGGCTGTATACCATGAATTACAAAGGTTTTATTTAAAAATCGTTTATAAAAAATATATAATTAAAAGAGCCTTTTTGGCTGCATCGCAACAAAATATTTGGGGACTTTCTAGTCCATCATAGTGCATTTACCAGGTGTACAGTAGTAAATATGTGAGTAAAAACCCTTAAAATGGTACAACATTTGTTATTTGTTATGTCTTTGTTAATAAGATGGTGTGATGTTAAAAATGGTAAAAACTTTAATCACCATCTATTTATTTCTTTCTTTTCGCCATGTTTGGTCGTTATTTCTATTTTTCTATCAGCGGCGTCACACAAACATACGTGTTAAAATACTTATTTCAATATTGTCTCTAGGAAAGAGTTCGAATTCCAGTAAAGAGAAGACCTTCAACTAGAAGAGGACGACAAGAAGCGTTACGCAAATCTGCGATAGATATACCTTTCGATAGTGTGGACGAATTGGAAAATGTGGTGTCGCAACAAGAAAAAAGTATCGGTAAGTGACCGTTACTCTATTGTTTGTATAATTTAGTTAATATAGAAATAACCCATTTCATATAGTACACACATTTTTTCTTGAAAAATAATCTATTAAACTGAGTAACTCAGTCGAGATCGTCCCTCTTATTGGCTTTAAATTATTTGTCTGGATCTCCAATAGGTAAAAGTGGATTCCTAGATAATTTCTTTGAATTTTCAAAGTCAAAATCAACAGAATGAACTCAGTAGAATCATAAAAAAGAAGTAGATGGTGCTATGTCAGCAAGACGAACTCAGCGGTATCACAGAAAGGTCATAGATGGCGCTATATTGCCAGAGGGAAATGTTAGTTTTTTGGAATTTCAAAGTTTTTTCAACTGGTTACTTACCAAGTAATTATTGAGAAATAACTATATATAAATACCCTGTATTTAGGCGGCACACGCCCTTCCGGTAAGGATCTATGGAGGAGTATCACCGAGACGCAAGCCCTTATATCTTGCTGTACTGCTCCACCATAGGCCGATCAGACACCAGCATATTCTAGTCTAAGCCGCAGATTCATTTAGAATTTTAAACTGCTGCATTAGCCTTTTTGTTTTCTGTACACCGAGCTGGGGATCGAACTCACTTCCTCTGAACCACTCGCAGTGAAGCGAATGAGAAACCGGCCGCCCAACCCGCTTGCTATCTGACCGACTAGAAATAACTACTCCCATTAAACTTACAAACAAACAGAAGAAGAGCCAGGTGTATGAAGAAAAAAATATTTCAACAACCAGGAAAGTCATCCCACATAAATTGTTAAATGAAAAATTTACAGATTTTGGGTCAACATTCTTTCCGGATACAGACTACCGTGACTTTCACATGAAGACCACAGGAAATTAACTTGATAAGTCACATTTTTGGTTTTGTTCAGGAGAACATTTTTAAAGCTTAAAATTCTGTGATTACGTTAAAATACATCATCATTCTGGCTTTACAACCCTGCGTGGGTCCTAGCCTCCTCAAGAATTTCTCTCCAGTCGTCCCTAACCACAGAATAATAAACAATCAGAATGCCCACTCTCCATGGAAAATTAAGTACGCGCATCTCGTTCGCGCAGACGTTTCGCCATGTTTTAGAGAGAACCAGTGTTGTTTATGTGGTGTGCATAGAAAAATTAATCCGGTTTAATTGACTTACGGCAATCATAGACATACTATACAATTATATTAACATTGTTAAATATAATAACATAAATAATAATATAATTAAACATAAATATAAACAATTACATAACCTCACAAATCATATGTATGTGTTATGTGTTTCCTTCTAAAACATGGCGCGCGTGCTGAAAAACTTCAAAGGCGGCATCTGAGAGTGGGCATTCTGATTGTTTATTATTTTGTGCCCTAACCATTGCCTTTCTACGCCAAGCACGTATTCCCATATTTCTTATGTCTTTATCGATGTTATCAAGGAACCTTGTTCTAGGTTTTCCTCTTCTTCTCTGACCAATGGGTCTATCAAGAAGCGTGCAAAATAGATCTGTTGGCCGTGCAAATTGTGAGGTTTATCTCTGCGGTTGTTTTATTTTTATTGTTAAGGATCGCACCCAAGTATACAAATTCGTCCACTGCTTCCATTGCGTCGTTTTCTATAACAAGTGTTCGTAGTATTTGTGGTTGCGTGCTTATTTTCATATAATTCGTTTTGTTGGTGTTTATTATTGAACCCATTTTTGTGGCTGATTCTTTTAATGCTACATACTCCTCTCGTACAGCGTTTTTTCGTTCTCCCAACAATATTGATATAATTAGCCTAGACCAAGATTTGCACTGATTTATTGTATATTAAATATAGTCTGCTTTGTTGTCTCTAAGTGAAGAGAAAATGTTTTCAACAGGGAACGGACCAGGATAAAATGATTTTCAGTACCCTACAGTGCAGTTTCCAACTGTAATGCAGAACGAGTCTACAAATCTACAATCTGTAGCCAAACCTGGGCCCGCACAAACTCAGAAAAAAACAACAGTATTCGCAGAGCATCTTACAACTGTATTCGCAGCACCAGATATTAATAACGATGAAGATGAAGATAGAAGAATGTACCTCGAAACCCCATGTCAACTATCTCGTTCTCTGACATTTACTCCGACAGAGGATTAACAATAATATACAACAGCACATTACGTCTTCGATACTTTCCAATACAATGGAAATTTGCTCAAGTTACTATGATTCCGAAACCTGGTAAACCCGCAACGCAAGCAAATTCATATCACCCTATAAGGCCTACTTCCAGTAATATCTAAAAGTATTAAAAACGCTACTATTACATAAAATCGAGCAAGTTGTTCCCATACACGAAATTATACCACAACACCAATTCGGATTTAGACGTGAACACTCAATCATTCAACAATGCCACAGAATAGTAAATATAATTAAAACAACTCTCGAAGAGAAAAAGTTTTGCGCTGGAGTGTTTCTAAATATGCAACAGGCATTTGATAGAATATGGCGTGAAGGTCTCCTCTACAAACTGAAATTACATCTAACAGACCAACTATACTTTATACTAAACTCATATCTTACTGACCATTACTTCCAAGTCAAAATTGAAGATAGTTACTCAAATTACCACATCATACAATCTGTGGTACCTCAGGGTAGCGTTTTGGGCCCATTTCTGAATCTGATATTTACAGCAGACGTTCCGCTTAGCAATGATATCTTCTTAGCTACATTTGCCTATGAGACGGGAATCTTGGCAGTGGATATCGACCCTAATGTAGCATCACAAAAAGTACAAAATCATTTAGATCAATTACAAAACTGGCTTAAGCGGTGGAAAATCAGTGCTAACAAATCAGTACAATTTATTATACATAAGAAAATCCACATGTCCACAAGTTTATATTAATAATACTCCTCGTCTTTATGTGCGATCTCCTCTAAGAAGGTTGGCAACCATCATGGCAATTCCCACTTTCGATGCCGCTGCTCTAAAGAGGTCAGCAGAAGTGCAGTTAAACCAAGCTCTCAAATTGTTTAACCAGGAGATGCGTCTTCTTCCGCGACTACCATTCCTATAAAACCAGTTGTCAAATACTTGGAATTGGACCTGGATGAAAAACTTATATGGACAACACACATTAAAACTAAACGGAAACAACTAGATCTTAAACTAAAAAATATGAACTGGCTATTTAACAAAAGGTCTCAGTTATCTCTTGAAAATAAACTGCTTCTATACAAAGCTATACTTATGTGCTGTAGCACAGCTATACTTAAAATCAGTGTGGGCATATGGAATAGAACTATGTGGCTGTAGTAAACCTTCAAATACGAAGATACTTCAAACATTCCAATCCAAAATACTCCGTATGATAAGTAAAACTCCATGGTATGTATCTAACCAAACACTTCACAATGATCATTACTACTTTCACAGACATCTCATTACTTAAGGACATAATAAAGAATCACTCAATAAAATATAAAAATCGCACCACTGATCACAACAACGAACTGATAACTAATTTATTCACCCATCCACTTGCCGAAAGAAGATTGAAGAGGGTATGGCAAGAAGACCTACCGCAATAATACTTAGAGAACCGTCACTGGACGGTACCTAACTCACGTTAATTTACTTACAGACTATTTACTTATTACTCTGTGTATAGAGTAGATTGTAAACATGCAATGTAACAAAAAAAAAATGATTATTCTTTTATTTATTTACATGGACTTACATGTTTTTTCCTATAAAGAAGGACTTATCACGTTATTTCTCTATAAAATCATTTTATTTAAAAAGATTTAAACAAATAGAGCAAATATATTTCTAATGCAAAAAATATTAAATGAAACATTGTCATAAAAATAAAAAAACATTTTACAATATAATTCCAGTTGTCCATGGCATATGCTTTGGTTACCAACTACTAGGATTAGCTGGACCTATCAACGTTTTCCCCTGTTTGTAATTGACATGTCAAGTTTTTTCAAACACTTATGTGTTTTGACTTATCAAAGTTATTGCTCTGTATTGTGTTACTCTTAGAAACTATGTAATTAAAGCTAACAAAGTGGTATTAAAAACGAGAAATGTCAAAAATTGGACTTATCAAGTTCTTTCCCTGTGGTCTTCATATAAATAATATACTATTCCAGATCTCCAATAAGTAAAAGAGATTCTTTAGATTTCTAGATCATTATTTTCAATTCTTGAAGTCATCGTTGGCAGAATGAAATTAGTAGTATTACAAAAATTTCATAGAGGGTGTTATGTCCACGGAATGAATTCAATGGCTTCATAAAAACGCCATAGATGCCGCCATATAGGCAGAATGAAGTTTAAAAGTTCATAGGTGGCGGTATGCCCGCAAAACGGAGTAAATGTAGTTAATAAAGTCAGGAGCGTCACAAAAATGCAGTACTTTGTCCGCATAATATGATCAGTAACGTCACAAAAAGCCTGTGGATGACATTTCTTTTAAGAAAATTACTGACAAATATTTTCATTGGTGTTTTTTTAATTGCAAAGCTTTTTCCAGCATTCTCTTTTAACAGCAATATAGTTCCAATTAACATAATGATAAATTAAAAATGGTCAAAGGTATTGGATCAAACGAAAAGTGGCTAATCGTTTTAATGTATACCTATATTTTTATAAGTACTTTCTAAAATTTTAATGCAGTGACTTACACGTAATTGCTTTTATTATACTATCACCTTTTGTTTTGTTTTAGAACCGACTACGAAGTCCTTAAAGACGCCGTCTAGTCCAATCACAGCTACAAACACACAATTAGTGGAAAAAGTTACTAAAACTCCTGCAAAGGTTACAGCTCCAGAACAGCCGGACAAATTAACCAATATTTTTGGTTCAGCAAGTTCCCCAAAAGAATTAGATGGCCTCTTGAAGTCTAAAGGTTCTCCCAAAGAGGACAAAATATATACACAACAGAATACAAATAAAGACGATAGTTTATTTGCTTCAATAGATAAAACAGAATCCAAACAACAAAATTATATGAGTACTGATGATGATATATTCTCTTCTGGAAGTCCTTTTGAAAAGCCTGCCTTTCAAAATAAAAATACCAGCGATATCGATGACTTGTTCAGTTCAATAAACCCACCAAACGTATCTATAAAGTCGGATGTCCCGGAGAAATTCTCCAGTAGTCAAAACAGCCTTTTCGATTCTCCAAAGGAGTTATCAAAAACAGAAGGTACCAATAAACATAGCAGTTCAAAAGAAAATACAAAACCGGTGCTCCAGAAAGACAGCACCAACAGTAAACCTAGCATATTCGATTCAGACGATGATTCGGATGAAGATCTTTTCAAAAGCTCGAGTAAAACCAAACCGAAAGAGGTTTCTACAGTAAAAGAACAAATTTCCAAAAATAAAAAATCGAAGTCTTTGTTTGATGACAATTCCAGCGATGATGATTTGTTTGCTGGAACATCAAGTCGCAGAAAAGACAGTGCGGGTGAGTATTACTAGATTTGTCAAAAAAGTTCATTACAGTCTTTGCATTGGTTTAAAATGATTTTTACTGTCGTCGTTATATAGAAAATAATCAGATCTATTCTGTAGCTTTTAACATCATATATATTTTAACAAATCGAATAGAACTGACACAAGTCGAATCGTAATTACCCGAAATCGGAATTTTGGATATGTATCGCGTCGTTTTCGTGTTTGGATTGGCATTCTGTAACTCACATCGTAATCGGTGTAAATCGAAAACGCCAACTTCTACTTGACGCGGTCAGAAGTTGGTGGCAACCCCGCACTGAAAAGTGAAATAAGTGTTCTGTGGCGTTATGTTACCGTAAAGGCTAGTGCGCGCGAAAAATTCATCAAAAAAGAAGATTATATTTCAAGCTTGTCGTCAAATAGTTATGATTTGTTTTGGTTAAGTTTAAAAATCTCGTTACAAGAATACAGAATGGCAAGCAGAACTCCAAAGAAAAAGACATCTGCTGAGCAGTTAAATTATTTAGTAAACTAAATCTAAATAAATAACACCACCGACTAAAAAATGTAGCAACTACAAACATTAATCAACCGCAAATTTATATCAAATAAATATCAAAACAATAATGATACCAATGCGCAAGCGTCAAGACCATTTTCGATGTCGAAACTTGATCTCGGTAGAGCTTGTCTAGTCGAAATCAATTTCTACACAACATTTCGATAGTAGATTTCGATATATATATATATATATATATATATATATATATATATATATATATATATATATATATATATATATATATATATATATATATATATAAATAAGGATCACTCAGACGAGTGGTGGGTTCTTATATCGGTCTCTAGGTGGAGAAATAAAAGACAAAGTTGATAGGCTACTTTGTTTGATGACAAATTTTACCTTCAAACATTTGGTACACCTATGGGTTCCTCAATCTCTCCCATCCTAGTTAACTTTGTATTGGATGATTTGGTTTCTGACCGTTTGGGTCTTTTGGATTTTCAAATCCCTTTTATTAAAAGGTATGTGGATGATTTATTACTAGCCCTACCACCTGACAAGGTTCAGGGTACCCTATCCCACTTTAATGAGTTTGATCCTCATTTACAGTTCATTGTTGAACTTGAGGACACTACCACCAATAGTATACCCTTCCTTGACATGCGTGTCATCAGAATGGGAGACAACACCCTAACCACAAGTTGGTATAGAAAATCAATGGCCTCTAATAGGTTCCTTAACTACCATTCCTGTCATCCCATGAAATACAAACTAAACCTTATAAAAGCTTTGAGCTATAGATTAAATAAATTGACACATCCAATTAATCGAAGGGAATCCTTTAAGTTATTGAGAAATATTCTAATAGAGAATTCATATCCTTCCTCTATCATCAATAAATACCTTTATTCGCATAGTTATGGATCCTCAATTTATGACATACCCGATGGTGACCAACTTAGAAACATCTCTAATAATTCTATAAATAGCACTGTTCTGCATAATACCGTTCTTGAGAATACTATCACACATTACTCTTCCTTACCTTATTTCCCTCAAGTTACTGAGAAACTTATTAAATTGTATAAACAAAATAATATACCTGTTAAAATTGCTGTTAAAAATGCAAAAACTGTTAGAAATTTGTTCTCTAAAACTAAAACACCCTTGTCCACTTTGGAACAAGTGAACACAATTTATAAAATTCCATGCGCTAATTGCGATTTATGTTACATTGGTCAATCTGGTAGATCATTAAAAGGTCGTCTCACTTCACATCGTAGCGACATTAATTTATCGAAACACACTTGTGCCCTAGCATAACATGCGACAAATACAAAACATGAAGTGAATTTTAATGAAGTTAAGATCCTTGCCACTGAACGCAATCTAGCTAAAAGACAGTTTTTGGAAATGTGTTCAATATTAAAACACCCTAATGCATTGAATAAGAGAACTGACATAAGTAACTTGAGCCAAATATATCATGCTTTAATTTTGCAGAATTAGGCTACTTAATCTTTTCACTACATTAATGTCATATTAGGTGTACTAGTTGAACTTTTTTCCATTTTTCATAAAACAATTTATATACATAAATAGAAATAAAATAAATAAATATATCAATAAAATAACTTAATATCTTTACTTAATTTTACTATTACATATGCAACCCACATTGCATTTCAATACACTAATTACTTTAATTAGTGTTTCAAATTTTATATTAAAATAATACAAATATTGTAATTGATTCATAGAATCCTTTGCAAATCACAGCTCCAAGTATATTGAACCTTGGGCTGTTTGGAAATTATAAAATCGTTAACCACCTGGCTGTTTAACTAGCCATAATGATTAACGTCATTACATACTTATGAGGTTGAATGAAAATCTCCTGTTTGTAAATTTGGGCTGATTAGTGAGGGGAGTTGTGTTTACACTACCAACTTTTTTCACTATGTTGTCCTTTGCAACCGGGTAGTCATCCAAACTCAGTTAAACTTAAATTAACCGCCCAAAATTTGGGTTGGTATTTACACCTTGTTGATCTGTCAAAAATATTTTTGACCTCAAGGTTGGCTGTCTTTTTGCGGTTTAGTTCGTTCCTGTTTCATTAAACGCCATTTTCCCGGCGACATTCATAGGGCTTTGATCGGTAACTTCATATTTACTATTTTTTAAAATTTTATTAATATCACTTATAATGCTACCTAAAGTTAAAATCAAAGCTTAATATCCATTAAATAGTTGGAAGTTATTTATGATTTTCTTGGTTCTTACTCACTTATTAACATTAAATAACATTGAATTTACTTTAGACCACATGGTCATTTGCTGTGCTAATTTTTTACAAGTTCATATATGTTGTTAGTTGCTTAACTGTTTATACAAGATCAGCGTATTATGTCCATTTACTTAGTTTCATTCACATGTTTGTTAATAACATTGACTGCTACATATCTTTTTAAGGTAACAATTAACATCGTTTCCATGATTGTGTGGTTCTCATATTGTAATAATTTTTTAGATGAACTGATGATGCTTTCAAAACTCGAAAGCGAAACGTCTTCAAAATAGATAAAGTAGCCTATCAACTTTGTCTTTTATTTCTCCACCTAGAGACCGATATATAACATTGTAGTCACATGGGCATATGGGTTTTGCAACCCCTGCTCAAATCTATTGTAAATAATAATAATAATAATAATAATAATAACCTGTGGGAGTTTTTATCAGTTCTTCTATCAGGCGCGGCCCCCTGCGAATGGGGGATGCTTTCTGGGTATCCGTAGCGCAGATACCCAGAGGGTAACAGGAATACCTGTCGTGGAACAAAAACTGACACCTGGCAGTAGGTATAAAATGCACACCCATGATAATGGAGTTTATTAATTTATGTTTAGGGTCGCTGCCTGGGGATCGCCAGGGCACGTCTGGAGCCGGCGCTGGACGTGACAGCATGCGGGACGTCGGTGGCAGGGTGTTGAGGAGGCGGGCCCCTGTCATACAATCAGCTACAGCCCAACAACAACAACAACAACCACAAGTGAGCCAAACAACAACAAGAGCTCCACTCGCTGAAGGTGCTGCGCTGGAACATCAGCCGGCGCTCACTCAAGCGGGACGACCGAGGCAGCGTATGAAGTGGACAGTGTCCATAAACGAAAATATTTTGCGCTTTTATTATAAGGTGACAAACCTCGGTCAAGAAACAATCGGCTATCGACAACAACTGTATGCCGAATTTTGCAGGGAGTACCCAGAAATCCAAGTATCTGAACAAAGAGTAGCAGATCAATACCGGGTAATTTTAAGAAACAATCTTATTCCAGAGACTAGACGCGACACCATCAGACGCGAAATCGAACGGGAGATTCATAACCAAGAACAAGTTGCAGACCAAGTTCCTAATGAAATCCCTAATGAACAGATTCCTGAGATTCTCATACAAGAAACTCAACCTAATAATACACAGCAGGACAATAACGAGTTGCACGATAGTCTGGCAAACGAAATGGCGCGCGCCGTACAAGAGTTTAGTGGAACAAACCCACTTAGCAGACCACCGCTACCAAAAATAAACTCTTCCAAGAAACTAGGAGCGCTGTTACAAATTGTGAATACTGAAGTCCTACCCAATTATATCACAGAAGCACACACATTGGAATATTTGCATATGCTGATTTACTGTGCAGCAACAGCAATTGCTAATGTTATGGGCATTAAGATCAGAACACGACGAGGTACCAACATCGGAAGGACTGGTAACAGAATAGCACCATGGGAAAAACGACTGCTGAAGAAGATCGAATTACTGCGTAGGGACATTGGACAAATAACAGAGTACATAAGAGGAGTAAGAAGTAGAAAAATCATCAAAAGAGCTGAAGAAATACTGTTTAACACTCTAAGACACTCACGATATGATCCAGAAAACAACACACCTCAACAATGCCTGGACACATTAAAACAAAAACTATCTGTTTACTCAGGCCGCCTGAGGAGATACAAAGTTAGTAACAACCGGAAATGCGACAATATACTTTTTGAGCAAGCAGAGAAAACTTTCTATAGGAAACTTAATTCCACTGTAGAAAACGCAAATAAATCCTACCCAAGCCAAGAAGAAATTCATGAGTTTTGGGGCAACCAACTTTCGACGCCAGCTACACATAACAACAATGCTGGATGGATTGAAGACACCACGAACAAATGTCAACACTACAGGAATATTCCTTATGAACCTTTCACCACTGAAGAAGTCTCGAACATTATCAAAGAGCTTCATAACTGGAAATCTCCTGGACCGGACGGAGTTCAAAACTTTTGGCTAAAGAAGTTTTGGAGTGTACATGAGCTTTTAACAGTATTTATTAATAATATTATTTCTAATTCACAGGAAATACCATCATTCCTTACTCAGGGAACCACTTATTTAATACCGAAGGATCAAAATAACACCCAAGATCCAGCCAAGTACCGCCCAATTACTTGTCTTCCAACTTTGTACAAATTGGTCACATCCTGTGTGGCCCGGCGTATCTACCAACACTGTGCTCTGAACAATATCATAGAGCCCCAACAGAAAGGATGCGCTAAGGGCTCCATGGGATGCAAAGAACAACTTATTATCGACTCAGTCATTTCTAACCAGGCATACACCAAAAAAAGAAACCTTTTTACTGCCTTCATTGACTACAAGAAGGCTTTTGATTCAGTGCCGCATGAATGGCTTATAGATATATTGAAAATATATAAAGTCGATGATAATCTCGTGACCTTTTTGAAGCATATAATGACAGAGTGGAAGACTAAAATTCACCTTCAAATACCTGGTGAAATTAATATCGAAACTGAAGATATCCCTATTAACCGGGGCCTTTTCCAGGGGGACTCGTTGAGTCCACTTTGGTTCTGCCTAGCGATGAACCCACTATCTCAGCTGCTGAACTCCACTGACTCAGGATTTAGCATCAAAAATAACAACACCGTTGTAGCGAAGCTTAATCATCTGTTGTATATGGATGATTTAAAATTAATGGCTTCCACTCGAAACCACTTAGATGAGATGCTAAAAACTGTAGAAAATTTCTCAAATGATATCAGTATGCATTTTGGACTAGACAAGTGCCGTATACTAAATATAGTCAGAGGAAAGGTTCAGCCCGGAGGTTTCGATATGCAAGATGGCCAAAACATCGAGGCAATGGGTGAAAATGATATGTACAAATATCTCGGAGTAAAACAAGCGCGAAAAATTGACCATAAACAGATGAAAACAGAACTAACTTCGGAGTTCGTGCGAAGAGTAAGACAACTAAATCGGTCATATCTTAATAGTAAAAATTTGTTTAAGGCATTAAATACTTACGCCTGTTCCGCGCTGAGCTACTCATTTGGTATTATAAAGTGGTCAAAAACGGATATAGAGGGTCTTCAGCGGAAAGTAAGAACACTTCTCACAAAGTCGCAAAAACATCATCCACGTAGTGCAGTAGAGAGAACAACATTACCGCGGTATCAAGGGGGAAGAGGACTTATGGATATAGGTGAGCAATTAGATAAACAAATTGCTAATTTAAGATCTTATTTTCAGGTACAGGCTGAGACATCTACTCTACATCGAGCAATTTGCGCAGTAGATGATACGACGCCGCTTAAACTGAGGGAACAAGAAATGCGCATAAACCACCTGACTCAGCAAGAAAAAATGCGCACCTGGATGAGTAAACCTCTGCACGGGCGACATCTCAATGAGATCAACCAAGAATATGTCGACAATACAGCGTCGAACTATTGGTTGACATCAGGAAAGATGTTTCCCGAGACTGAGGGTTTCCTACTTGCCATTCAGGATCAGGTTATTCCAACTAAAAATTACCTGAAAAATATTGTTAAAGATCCTCAAGTCCAAAATGACAAATGCCGATATGGATGCCAAGCCCAAGAAACCATCCAACATCTTACCGGTGGCTGCCAGGCATTTGTCGGTACTGATTATAAAGAACGCCATGACTCAGTAGGAAAGATTATCCACCAAGAACTAGCTGACAAACTGGGACTTCTCCAAACCGACCATCTTCCTTATTATCAATACGCCCCTGATAGAATGCTTGAAAATGACAACTACAAGCTATACTGGGACCGCACTGTGCTTACAGACCAACCAGTGGCCCATAATAGACCGGATCTCATACTAGTTAATAAACTTACTAGACAAACAACACTTATTGATGTGGCGATACCCAACACCAATAATTTAGTTGTTAAATACAACGAAAAGATCGCCAAGTACAGAGATCTAGAAATACAAATCAGGAGACAATGGAGAATGGAAAGTACCCAGACACTACCTATTGTTCTATCTACTACTGGTGTTATTCCCAAAAACCTCCTAGCGAACATAAAACAGCTGGGTCTAAATGAACATCTTTATAAGGCCATGCAGAAAGCTGTACTCCTCGCGACGGCCAGATGCGTACGAAAATTTCTGGGAGATACTCCAACATACCAAGTCACCTAGGGCTCGATAACATGGAAAGAGTCCCACCAGAGCTCAATCCTTTTGATACCGTAGGTATCTGGGATGAGTGAATTTTCCCCTTAGAGGGAGTGTGAGCCGTATGGCTAAATCTGAGATAATAATAATATAAGAACCCACCACTCGTCTGAGTGATCCTTATATATATATTGGATTGACGGTCGTACTCCTTTTTCCGATATATATATATATATATATATATATATATATATATATATATATATATATATATATATATATATATATATATATATATATATATATATATATATATATATATATATATATTTTAAAAATTACACACATCATTTGCAAAGTCTGCATCACTTTGTTTATATCCAAAAGCGGTAACTATTATAATTCTAACTCTAGATGTATACTCGGATTTTCAATTTAACATTTTATTTACATTTAATTGTCATACATTTGAAAATTTGTTCTGGTCGTTCGTTTTTGATACATATTACCAAAGCTATGTAAAACTTTCTAATGCTGTCTTACTTCAATGTTTGTAGCTCTCCCTTAACCCTACATATTTGGTGAACATCGCAGATATTGTACATGATAATCGTTGTAAACATCCGCAAAGTATTGTCAACTAGGAAAATAAGAAATAGAATTTTGCTACATATAATAAATTGGTATTTTGTCTTTTTTAATATCTATTTTGTTTTTAGGAACAATGCCGAAAATTAACGACAAAAAAATAAAACCGTCGATCAAAAAATTGGAGAATGTTCAGACTGATGTTGATCCCTTATCGAGTTTACTGGAGTAAATTACTTGAAATGACATTGCCTGTATATATTAGCCACTATTTCTACTGATTAGGCAACCAAACAGTTTTTTCGCGATTGTTAAAATTATTATTCAACATGAAACACCAACAATCGTTATTAGTCTTGTAAGAAGAATCTCATGCAAGACCTACTGCATTTAGTTGTCAGTTATGAATGCTTTGCAATATTTTATATTGAATTTAATTTATATTGAATAAGTACATTACCTTTATAGTATACATGATTTTAGCTACAAAGATATTTTTAGCAGTAGGTAAATCATCTTTTCGACAACTGTCTATTTGTCAAAAAAATCTATTGATATAAAAAAGACCCGAATATAAAATTACGAGAATAAACGGATAATAGAATCTTAAAATTACTAACGAACGTCACTATTGTCTCTCCTGTTTCTTCGAAATTCAATTTAAACTAAGAACAGCTTATTATGGCCGCGCCATACCGAGAAATCCCTCCACCCCTCAACGTCCTCTTTAAATGTAGGTTCATATTGCCAAACAGACCAACATAGTTGTATAGTTAAATTGTTTTAAACCATGTTCAATCTGTACAGAAACCACTGACACTTTCTATAAACTCAATTATTTTTCTCTCTAGTTCCATCTTTTCTTGTAGAGTATAAGTCGCTTATGCGTTTCTTCGCCAAAAGTGTAAGATTGCTGACTGCCCAGGTTAGCGCATCTTCTCGTTCATTTTCTTGTTAAACTGTATACTAATTACTTCCACTCACTTGTATTTCTTGCTGATTTTGATTTCATTCCTCTTACCGCTCATTACCTAGTTTATATTACGCCAATTATAGGCAACATTCAGTTCATTGTTGCTGTGTTGCGGCATTTTAATTTTTCCTTTAACCTATGACTCACTAATTATGTAAGCCGGAACATTAGATGTATAAGCCTGTCGAACCTACTTTAGGTGGGATTTTAGCAGGAAAGACAAATTAGTTAAGAATTATATTTGATAAACTTGGTGAAAAATATTGTTTTGTTTGGGAAAACTGAGGCAGGCTTCAATATACAAAAATACGTATAATAAAATAAAAATCTTAAATATTCTATTAAGAAAGTTGATCAAAATAGTCAGTAAGAAGTACATGAAAATATATAAGCTAATACTAAAAAGAAAGTATGCAATCTCAGCAATAATTTTAGATATGCAGACGACACGATACTTATTGTCTCCAATGAAGAAGACCTGCAACGACTTATAAACAGGGTAACCGAACCATGTGATGAATATGGGCCAATACTTTTAAGACAACATTTATGGTTGTCAGCAAAACGGAGTTACTACCAACGAACATCAGAGCGTATGGAATAGAGGTAGAAAGAGTCCACAATATTACCTACTTGGGTGCAAACGTTAACGATAACTGGGATATAATAGTATATTACATAACGAGAGTTGTAAGAAACTTATTACATGCGAGTAAAAAAGTTGCGCGCGAGCCGCGTAGCGGCGAGCGCAGTAATTTTACAAGCATGTAATAAGCTTACAACTCAAGTTGTGTACTATACTTTTTCTACAATTATTTTCGTTTATAAAAATAAAAATTAAATTACCACTATGTTTACACTGACAGATTAATAATTTTTAATCTTTAATCTAATCTAACCTTATATATATAAGGTTCTTGAACTCCTAAGTGGAGCATAGAGCTTCAGTGAAAACGCGCCATCGGGTTCTATTTTGCGCTAAGGCCTTCACCTCATTCCAAGACTTTCCTTGTTTTCTTATCTCGTCCATGATGGATCTTCTCCAAGTTTGTACTGGGCGACCTTTTTTTCGTTTTCCTTGGGGATTCCACTCTAGGGCAGTCTTTGTAATACTGGAGTTATTTTTTCGGAGTGTGTGACCGATCCAACCCCACTTTCTGGACTTTATTTCATTTACTACCCTCTTTTGTTTGGTCAGGTGTAGTAAGTCTTCGTTTCTGATGATGTTAGGCCAGAAAATACGAACAATTCTTCGTAGACATTTATTAACAAAGACCTGCAGTTTGTCTGTAAGGGTTTTTGTCGCTTTCCAGGTTTCACATCCGTAAAGTAGTACAGACATGACATTTGACTGGAATATGCGGATCTTTGTCCTCGTAGTGTATTCTCCAGACCTCCAAACAGGGTTGAGCATGCTGAAAGCTTGTTGCGCTTTTCGTATCCTCATACGAATATCGTCTTCTGTACCTCCGCTTTCTGTTATGACACTTCCAAGATACGTAAAGTTTTCCACATTTTCAATCTGCATGTTATTAATGGTGAATAGCGTGTTGTTTCTTGCATTTATTCTCATGGATTTGGTTTTACCAATATTGATTTTCAAACCTATTTTATTGGCTTCAGTGGAAAGTGTTTCCAATTGGTCAGCCACATCTTGGAACCTTTGTCCTAACAGGCAGATATCGTCGGCGTATTCTAGATCGCTTAGACGTGTGGTTAACGTCCATTGTATCCCTCTTGTGTTAGAGTCTAGTTTGGAGAGAACATAGTCTAGAGCTATGTTAAAAAGAAACGGAGAAAGCACGCATCCCTGTCTGACTCCAGTAAGTACGTCAAATTCGTCACTGTTGATCCCATTGTGTGTCACGCTGCATTTCGCTTCAGTGTACAGTAACTTTATAATGGAAATTATTTTATGCGGGATGTTTCTTAGCTCTAAAATTTTCCATATTGCATCATGAGATAAGCTGTCAAAAGCACGCTCGAAATCAACAAAAACCATGTATAGGGGTGTGTTCCATTCAACCGATTGTTCCATTATTAGCCTCACAGTATTAATGTGGTCTATGCAGGAGGATTCTGGTCTAAAGCCTACTTGATTAGCTCGAAATTCAACCTTGTTTGTTAATCTTTTAAGTATGATGGTCGTGAAGATTTTATTTATGGCGGTAAGCAAGGTTATTCCTCTCCAATTTTTGCATAGTGTGAGGTTGCCCTTTTTTGGAAGCTTAGTAATGATGCCTTTTTTCCAGCCCGCTGGAATGCGGTTTGTTTCCCACACCTCTCGGATTATGGGGAGCAGAAGTTCAGCAGTTAGATGCGGATCAGTTTTAAGCATTTCGGCAGCAATGTTATCGATTCCCGGAGACTTGTTATTTTTCAGAGATTTGATAGCTGTTATTATCTCTGTTTTGGAAGGGCGTCGCAAGATATACGCAAGTCTATATTCTGTGGATTTTCGACAATTCCATCTGCGTTATCCCTGGGCGTACCTAGCATCTCCTGAAAATGCTCTTTCCATCTCTCTATTTGGTCATTTGTTGTGGTAAGTAGTTCTCCTGTCTTGGATCTTACGACGTTTGAACAGTTGGGCCCACTTTTTGTTAGACGTCTGGTAATTTGGTATAGCTCTCTAGTTCTATTGTGTTGTGCAGCTATTTCGGCTTGTTTTGCCAGTTCTTCAGTCCATCTTCTTTTGTCTCTTCTGTCAAAATAACGTCTGTTAATTCGTTTCCATGGTAACTCGACCAACTGACTTACAAGGCTTATGTGATATTACACATTTTTATAGAACTGAAGCGTAATTTTTTTTATTACGTGCTAGTCATTACGTGTCAGTATCTGTTATGATGCATTTACTTAGCATCCAAATAGTAGGTAATATACAATTTACTAGTAACAGAGTAGAAAATAGTATATTACATAACGAGAGTTGTAAGAAGCTTATTACATGCGAGTAAAAAAGTTGCGAGGGAGCTGCGTAGCGGCGAGCGCAGTAATTTTACAAGCATGTAATAAGCTTACAATTGAAGTTGTGTACTATACTTTTTCTATGATTATTTTCGTTTATAAAAATAAAAATTAAATTATCGCTATATTTAAACTGGCAGATTAATAATTTTTAATCTGTCAAAATAACGTCTGTTAAAATCAGATTAATATGCTGTTACATATTCTCCACATTGCTGTATGGTATGGAGAGCTGGACCCTTACAGAGACATTAATGAAAAAATTAGAGGCCTTTGAGATGTGGATTTATCGACGAGTATTGCGGATAAGTTGGGTTGATCGAATAAGAAATGAAATAGTTTTACATCGAATGAAAAAGAGCACAGAAATAACAAAAACGATAAAAATTCCAAAGTTACAATATTTCGGTCATGTAATGAGACATCCAGAGAGGTATAAATAACCTTCTACACCTCATAATGCAGGGTAAGATCGCCGGCAGGAGAGGCCCAGGCCGACGAAGAACAACCTGGCTCCGAAATCTCCGAGAATGGTATCAAGAAACTACCGCTAATTTATTTAGAGCCGCCGTAAATAAAGTTATTATTGCCAATATGATCGCCAACGTTCGATAATCGGACAGGGCACTGAAAGAAGAAGAAGTTCGAATGCGATACAGTATGAAAAAAGGTTAAAAAAATTGCACCTACAAAAACTGCTGCAAGATATAAATTTGAAAATATGAAATTGCAAAGAGAATAGTAAAAACAGCAATTTTGTGGATTAATATAAAGCTTCGCGCCAGTCTACAGTACCGTCCTTTACCCTTTACTTACAGTACTGAACCCTTTATTTCTTGGATTCTTTTTTTAAATAGGTTGCTTTTTAGGAAATTATGTTTTATCTTGAATTGCTTTTGTAGAATTATTAATGAAAATATTGCTTAACTAGACAACATTTATTTGCATCATATAGAAGTCATTGATTTGGTTATTATTAAACAATACAGTTTTTACAGAAAGGATTAATGGTGTCTTCATGTTTGGTTAAATATTTTGAAAGTTCGGTGAATCATTTAGTTGCCGCAATTTCTCTAAGAATAGGTTGTTTTTTAGGAAAACTTTTTACTACACTAACCTTATCCTTGTAAATATCATTATCGGGGTTTCGAATTTTTGTCGATAACATCAAAAATGGTAATTTTATTTATCACACAGCCATTACATACTAGACCGACTACTTTTCGCCTTATTATGATAGATCTCATACAGGGAAAATAATGGCTAATATAGTAGATACATATTTAATT